TACAAACTATAGATACTTTCTCCTTTCGGGTTCTCAAGGTCGACTGAAAGAAATCCATTTAAGGGATAAGTCCGTCTGTGTACATTTTTCTTATAAATTTACATCTATAAATGAATGTACAAAAATAAATAAATAAATGTTTTTTGTGTACATATTGTTATGTATCATTCTTTGATGAGAATAATGAAGAGTTATCATTTATTCATTAATTCAGGCATAATCTTCGATCAACACTAAATAATCTGCGTGTCGATCAAACATGTTGCTAATCTTGGTTACTAATTGTGCGCGATGGTATCTCGTTGATGTCTTATGTAGGCGCCATAAGTGGCGCGTCTCGACACTCCTGCGCAATTAACATCACCTCGTTACTAACTCGACAATCATTCTAGAATGTTTTAAGGCAACTTTCCAGATGTTATTCTCTGGTGTGAATCAGTGTCATTTGGGTCACTTTAAACATAGAAAAAACACTACACCAGCCGTTAGTAAATAAAGGTATGTAACTTGAAATGTTATCAATATTAATTTCACATACAATCTGAAAACAATTTTTCTCCAGGTGCATTATGAATTGAGTAATTAGTACTGCATCAAAACGGTTCAGCGAAACGTATGTATGAGTAAAGATATAATTTTTGGTTTATAATGGATAAACTTATAAAAAACTTTTTCGATTTGAAAAATTCTTTCACACATTTTTTTTTTTCATAGAAAGCTACATTATCAGACAGTAGTATGGGTTATATTTTACTTAAAAGAAATTATGCGAAGCCGGGGCAGGTCGTTAGTCATTTATATAAAATTCTTTTTGTCCACGCCAACGGACATTTCTGAATCTCAAACATACTAAACTTAAACTAACATCAAAATTTATTTTATATTATCTTGATATTATATACATATATTATATGAAATATAATTTTTATTTGTCATGAATAATACCTATATATTCGGTTTCTCTGAATATTGATGGCAGAAAAAAGGTATTCACCCATTTCGGCATCACGCAAACCGGCATATTAATTTCGATACAGTCCTTAATTTCAATATTGTATATTGGATAAGCGATATTTAATATATTCCTTATTGGGTTAGTATTGAGATACTATAATTGCAATATATAGATATTTCTATATATTAACCAGCCCTAATCTACGTGTCGATCAAGTGTGTCGTCGACGCTAATCTGAGAACAGTATTCCGCTAGTTGGTAATTGTGCGCGATGGTATCGCGTTGATGTCTTGTGTAGGCGATACAAGTGGCGCGTCTCGACACTCCTGCGCAGTTATAATTCGTTTCAATAGAATTTAATCAAAAGGTAACCAAGTTTTGTTGCAATTATCATAGAAATACTGTCTAAATTCTTTTTTTATTGTTAAGGAGTCGAACGAGCAGACGGTCCACCTGATGGAAAGCAGCTACCGTCGCCCATGTTTGTGTGTTGCCGGCCTTTTAAATGTTTGTAGACATGTTTTTTTAAAATGCCCCATATTATATTGCAAGGGGAAATCTGAAGTCGGAAGCTTATTCCACAACCTAGATGTACAAAGTAGAAATGAACGAGATGTACTGACCTTGGTAGTATGCGCACCATAGGAATGAAATGAGAAATTAGTATACAGAGTGTCCCAGAAGTCGACGTCAAGCCAGAATCAGATAACAGGTTAAGTCATAATAGTTAACAGAAAGATAAAACATCTAAGTTGCATATTTTAAAAATTATAGACATTTAAAAGAAATCGAGATAATCTACACCCTGTGACGGTGTTTTAACTCTTGTTAATACAGATATGTACTTTTATAATATTAGATTTTTTTTGTAGTTCCGAATACTTTTTATCTAAACTGTGGCCTAAAATTTAAAGTGCTCCAACTCAACTGCTCCAGCTGGGACAGTTCCCTGTATAATAAAATAAGTGACAAATCGAAATGTTTAGTCAATTAATAAATTTTTGAATTATACTACTTTTAACAACCACAGATTATTTTTTTGTCGACACAATTAGGTACTAGTTTGTATACGTTTTAAGTTATTTTGAAACAGATTATACCGAGATGAGAATTTTTGGGCATTTCTTTAAATTTCAGTATCACATTATTTATGTTATGTGATATAAGTGCACATTATATAAGTTATTGCATATTACTTTATTATATTATTAGTGCTGCACCCCAACTTTGTTTGTTTTTTTTTGTTTTTTTTTAATAAAATACAACCTATGCTTCTCGCCATTAATGTATCTTTCTACAGGTGACAGGATTTCTTAAATTGATTTACTTAATTAATAAAAAAAAAAGTGCCTATAAAACAAAACAAATTAAATTTCTTCTCTTCTCTTTATAATATTAATTTCAACGACGAAACGATAAAACCATGTCGTGTCGTGCCATTATCAAATCGCCAATTCAAGCGTGGCATTATGAACGGAAGTGATGTAGACGATGCGGTGGTGATTGGTCACGGATTCGCGGAAAGCCAGCATATTTCTCGGAGACTCTCCGTGGCAACTCATGTTGCCAGTCAATGAATAGATTATATAGATAGAGTGTGTCCATACAAATACTTCGCTATGAACAGGTAAATTTTTTATTCGATGTATGCGTGAATAGGGTTACCATACTTATTACTTAGTACATGGAAGAAATTATATTGTAAGATCAAATTGAACAACTTACGTTATTTAATATTTGACGCTGTTTTTCCAAACTTACTTCATCATCTGTTGCAGCCGTGAACTGCTGTACATAGGCTTCTCCCAATTGGGGGGTTGGTTTTTATTATTACCTATTTCAGATATATCAGCCTTATCGTACCTTGAACCGATTTCTCAAACAAAACTTTATCTACTTTCCCTAGACGCGGAAAGAGACAAATTAATGGGCATCAATAATTTACAGAGATGTTCAAAAATTTCTAGTTTAGGTTCAGTTAATATAGATTGAATAAGACCAACATTATGGGGATTTGCTAATGGTTGCCATGCTTAGCAGCCAGGTTGGCAACCACATGGCTTTGGTGACGTTTTAAGAGGGACGCTGCTGCGTTTATTAAATTCCCTTAATCGCTTCTTACGACATTCACAGGAAAGAAATGAGTGACCAATTCTATGTCAGGATCACATGACTTGATCTCATGTTTGCTTTCAGTCCTCATTATTGACATGTTTTTTTATATAGATACCTAATGGCTACAATCAAATGTTAGTTTTTTTTTAATGGGTGATAATATAATGGTATCTCCACCCGCGCTATCGGTATACACCGGCGGGGCACCAGTGAAGAATGATAGATAAGGATGAAGCAGGTCAGTCAGCCCATCGTGACGAATTCAACAAGAATTGTTCACGATGGTTTTCAGGGGAAAACACGTAGAGGTCGACCTAATAGGGCATATTGATAGCAATGGGGCTGTCAAACTCCATTGCTATCAATTCCTTTCCCCCATCAATTGTTAGTTAACCTCTATACAGCGATTTAGCGACTAAATTACTGCTATGCTATGGTTCTATAACTACTAGATCTTAAATTGTTGAAAAGTAAATATAATCCGTCTAGTGATTAGCAAGCAATCATTGTATATAATGCCATTATTTTTTCCGCAATCGTTCACGAAGTGATCGCGCAGTGTTTAGTATTACAGGTAATCAGTCCCCGGAGACAATAAATCCGGTTCGGCTGCAACGAACGGGTTGCAATTAAACTAGTGTCGCGGCGAACGCGCGCGGCGCGGGGTTCGCGACCGTGCGAAAGTGACGCCGCGGGAGGAGGGAGCCGCGGATAATCCACAGAGTATATTATCCAGTTGGTTTTTATGCAACTTGTAATGGCAAACGAGCTGACGGCCTTCTAATGAAAAATGATAATAATAAACAGTACCGTAGACATAATAGAATACATTGTGACTCTCAAATCAATTACTATCTATTGTGACCTTTATTATATCATTCATGAGTCGTTAATCCGAAGTACGAAAGTATTATGCCTCTTTGTCCTGTAATTTCAATAAAGTATTCTTTAATCTTAAACACAGCTAAGTTTGCAAGCACAGGTGCTTGATAACAAAAATAATATTTATAGATAACATTTCAATAAAATTTCTTTTTCAAGTTGAATAAAAATTCCTTTTTGTATTTGTGTTCAATTGGTACGTTGCAGTGTACATTTACGATCTTGAAATTTACTGTCAGTTATTTTTATAAAAAAAAACTGAGGATATATGAGATAACTAGTAGATTCATGATGTCGATGCTCATATTTGTAATGACTTTAAGTTCATGATTATTAGAGGTGGATGACAATACTTTTAAAATACTTGTAACACTTGTACAGAGGAATAACACCTGAGTTCTCAGGAATGGCAACGTATGGGGGGTATCATGGGCGAAACAGTATACTCTGTTAAGTCCATGGTATTGCTCATGTCTATAGGCGATGGTTACCACTTTCCATCAGGTGGGCCGTCAGCTTGTTTGCCATTCTAAGTTGTATTAAAAAAAAAAACTTAAATAAAGGAATACCTGACTAAGTATTCAATTATAATGTATTTTAGCTGTACATTATGTCTTATCTTCACTAGTTCTAAAGCGATTTTGATAATTTTTAAATGAGAGAATTTACTTTCAAGTGATTTCCGTATATATTTGGTCAAGATCGAAGACGTTTCTTATGGAACAAAATCTGAAATATTAAATGTAGAGCTTTGGCGGGCAAAAAGAGGGCTGAGCGCGCTGGTGCGCTTGTTTATACTGTGGTACGGAAGGATGTAGGAGGGCCACAGTGTCCAGCGCAGAGCCGTGGTGAGTGGAGAGCAGAGAGTGGAGAGGCGCAGTGCGCGCGCAGCGGTCGGCGCAGACGCACGCGCGAGTCGCTCCTGGTGCGATGTCGCGCTAGCGGCGCGCCCGGCGCCCATGGTGTACCCCGAGGCGTCCCGCTGGGGCGCGCCCGACGCCGCTCTCGCGCCCCTCTACGACGACGTGTACCGAGGTCAGCTGATATTTGCAAACTTGCAACGTGCTCCTTACGAACTGCATCCTTTGTTCCTGTGTTACCTCCGACTATCGTACACTATCCGCTATTAACGTCTCCCATCCATCTGAATACCGTAACTAGTTATCGGGCAATTCACCTTGAATTGTTCTCGTTTGGCAAATATGCCCAACAAACTTTTTCTTGACAGTAACTTTCAGAAGTATAACAACACTGGTGAGTTGACATCAAACTGATCATGCGATACCATTTAGTTCGAAGCAGTGACAAAATTAAATTAAACAATTTATTTGCAATATCAATAAACGTTAATAATTTATTGTAACAAATTCTAATACTTTTTTTGTATTTATTCGTTAAACAATATTTTAACAATAAACAATATGTGAACGCATCGAAAGTTCTACACTAGTGGGTTGGAGGCGAGTCAATAAACCGCCTGTTGATTCACGCGAAGCTTGTTGCGAACTTGCAGATTGCACAATCGGCCGCCGGTTAATCTGCAGACTGGCCTCCTTGTGACTCACGCTCTTGTACAGCTGATTTCGTTCCTCTCAATCCTTTATATGAATTCAAATATTCATTTGCGTTATTGGTACAAGCTTAACGTTGATGTTATACATGTTCTAATTTAAGGATACAATTTCTTTTCTCTTGGTTTAAATCATATAGTAATAAAAATAATAATAGCAACTAATAATAAAATCAGATTATTTTTACACAATTATAATTAATTAGACTTTATCAATAACGTGTATGTGGTTAAAGATATTAATTGTATTTTTTTTTTAATTCAAATTAAGACTAATTACATTTTATTTAATATAAATGAGTGTGTATATTACGGCATTTTCTATTAGTCACCTGTAGAGAAAACATTTAAATGGAGTTGTACATACTCGTATCCTAGAATTTACGTGATTGATTACTTTTTGTTTAATTGAAACAGACTTTAATAATAATAATTTATTTTACATGTAATGTTTATTATTTACAATAATTTTTTTTTATGGTTATTTAATTATTCTTTAACTTGTTATTATTAATATAGACTCTTTTTATTCTTCAATAAAGTCTACTTTAACATGAATATAAATTGTTCAACTATCAGCTATTAAAAAAGATTTACCTACATTATGTATTTAATACCATCGTAAACTTTTTATATTCCATAAATAATATATTATAATAGATATGTTGACAACCGATTAAACTTGTAATTTCCGAATTTCAATATGAATATATTCCACGTGTAAAATAAATTTATCAGGTGCAAAATTTCAAGTAGAATCAAGAATAAACAAAACCAGGAATCTCACTAATTCTTATTAGTTTTATAATTAGGAAAATTTATAAATAAATTCACGTGTATATTACTTAACACGTTTAAGGCTGAATGGATATATGTTTGTTATACAGATAGACTATTTCTTAGAAATTATATAATAAATAAATGTTTATAAAAAATAAATAAATAGCCCAAATTACTCGCTGATTGTATAGCTTTCTACAGATTTAAGAATTTTTGAAATTGGTAAAGTATTAATCTCAATAAAAAAATCAAATATCTCCTCTATATAATATTAATTTAGACAACACATAGAATTTATTCACATGGGTAATGAGCTAAAGATATTAGTAGTAGTAAGTCATAGAAGTTTATTATCTATCAATATACGTAATATCTTATTATGGAAAACGTTTTAAATGAGAACCAAATATTTTACAAAAACGTTTGTATATTAACAATACCTATACAACATGGAATAATTTAATTAAGTGTTATTACATAAATATTAAGTAAGCGAATCTGTACATTTCGTGATTAGAATAATTAATTACTTTTATCTAGAAGTGAATACTTTTAATTCATTATTTAATAATAAAATGAATAAGAGATTTTTTGTTAATTGTAATATAATTATGTAGGTATTAAAATATCAAAACATCGTCGTTCAAAATCTGTCCACTAAATAACTTGTTTTTATTGGATACGTGCGTAAAAAATGTAAAAATCGACAAACATTTAAATTATACTTTTTATAAAATATATATTTTATAAAAATAATAACTATATATATAATATATATTATACTAGAAAATTATAAGCATATATAACAATTTTGATAATTAAACATAGCGTGTACCCATTCGGTCTCTTTGTAATTTTGTTCACACTCGTATGGTATACATACAATTTGTGAGAAAAATAAAAGAAAGTTCACACTATACATCACATTATGGACAACATAAAGTCTAACATTATAGAATAGGCACAGTTACCTAGCACATACAATACACCAGTAAGAGAGGATTGTCTGCGTAATGCCTCGAACGGTTGTTTTATAAGCATAGTGAACTGCGCCGGTGCTTTAAAACTCAATTAAAGCTTGAAAATTGAACTGTCTTAGGGAAATTCTAATTGTACTTTTATAGCAGCTCGTTTACGATGCAATATACAGATGGTAATGTAATGATAGATGTATCACTTAATTCTTTTTTTTATTTTTTATTTATTGTTTATATGGAGAGGTATTATCGTAAAATGTCTTAATGAAAACATCATTTTTGATACAATTATTTTTTTTCATTAACTTTTACACTTTCGTGCTGCATGTTTTATGTTTTATAAGAGGCGGGAATTAACATTCATAATTTATTTATTTATTTACAGGAAAACCAGGGCTAGACTTGCATAAATAGAAATAGTCTAGGGTCACAATATTGTTTCTTAATTTATTTCCCAATGAGGGTTGACGTCAGGCAGGCGGTCGGTCGTAAACTATAAGGCAAATCTTTTTGTAATATGGATATAAAACATATTACGCCGACTCCAAATAATAATTGGGATAAGGGTAGGAAAATGATGATGATTATTTTTTAATTTATATAATTATTATTATATAAATAATTTAAAAAGTTATCATTGTTTACTTAAATGATCGTGTCAATTCGTATCTATTATAAAAATACTTTTGTTTTTAGAAATTTACTATCGATATAGTTAATCAAACTTTGTTATTTGATATGTGTGTATGTCAATTTGACTAATTATATCAGGTTATTGCAGTCTGAAATAATTTGTATAATAATAATAAATTCTTTTCTAAGCATGGTGTCTGAACGGAGCGTGGTTAAATCAAATTGAATGAACTTTAAATATACAGACATATTATAAAACACTTTAACTCAATAATAAAACTGATATATGAATATATATATATATATACATACATATAGTAAGGGTCTCTATTGGTCCCGAAACTTGGTAGTAAATCCTTCTCGACTTCGAATAACACGTAAATTAATACGATAGTTTTTAAATTAAAGTATAATGTGCGATTACGAAACTTTCAACAATAATATATAAAATGAGATTCTACATACTAGATTCTAGATTTAGTGTACATCTATATAAAAAAAAAAATATTACAGAAGCTTTCAATGACACGTGATAATTACCGCAAACCGCGACTGCATATATTTTATAAGCAAAAAATGCATATATTTTGTGTATGAGCGCACGTAATGTGCTTCACTTGATTTTATTATTGTTTTCGTATTGATAATAATCCCTTTCGTTGCGTGTTCTGTTATTGAACTGTCCATTTTTTTTTTTATTTCCATAGATTTCGATGCAATATTTTTTTTTTCGCAAAAACTTAGAAAAAAGTGCGTGTAATGAAGCGACTTCATACTTCTGATTTCAAAAAGATGGTTTCCAATTCGACTGTATTTTCTTTTTTGTGTATATGCTACGCAATGTCTTCGATGTTTATGAATAGATTTTAATAATTACTTTTTATTTGGACATGTTTTTTCTTTGTCAATAATAAAGATCTTTTCTGTTTGGAGAAAAATACTTAAATTATTAGTTTTAGTTTTGTGCTGATGATTCTTTATTTAAATTTAAAACAATTAGAGATATACTGTTATAATAATTATAACAATTGTTATAAATAAATGAGTTTTAAATATTTTTTATTTGTAGATAATACTTTGAATTATGATTTTATTAGTATTTTATTAGCCTTTTGCCCACTATTTCATACTCGTAAATTTGAAAAATATGAAAACAAATAAAGTAAACTATTTCTAGACAACGTATCGAGATTTTAAGTTACACCAGTTTCTAAGTTACACCTTTGAAAATATTATCTACAGTAAAAATCTCAATCCAATTTGGTGCAGTAAAACTACTAGTGTGATATCTGAACGAACAGACAGACATAATTTATAGTTCGATTGCTCTTATTAACCCTCTCGTATAATTTTTTCTACAAATATCTTACACGTTATTATATTAATAAAATTATATGACAGTAAGTAAGTACATATTATAATTTCATATGCTTATTGAAATTTGCAAAAAAAAAATTGTAGGACACATAGCACTAATTGAAAGCTATAAATTATCGCAGTCAAATATTGGACCGCCGTTCTAACGGCAAAAAAATATAAGCGGATTAGATATTTGGACGGTTTGCATACAATTTGCTTTTTATGATAACTCGCAACTTTATCCGGATTTGTTTCTGATAGCTTTTGAAAACAATAGAAATGATTATTTATATTTATTATTATTCCTAAATACGCAATTAAATAAAAATGAGTAAATAAAATAGTATCATTGTTATGGTGCCTATGTGATCATATTTTTCATTTATGTTAATGTAAAAATAAAATATTTTAAGTCAATCTAAGTACCACGTGATTTAAATGACCAAATCTGCACCGCTAGACTTTGTTAAATTTTCAAATGACTTCATAAACTAGGAGGTTCTCATTTTTAATGTTTGTTACGTCATAACTCCGTCAGTTATACATTGTATTGGAAAATTCTTTTTTAATCTGTAAGAATAAACTTATAGATCAATCCCATACAAATTTTATCAAAATCTGTTCAGTAGTTTAGTTTCTGTTTTTTAAAAACACAATTTTAATTATAAAGATAAATTATTTTAAGATTTTGAAATATTCATAAATATTTAAAGACTCCTTAAATTATACTAAAATATTAATTACAGAACAAAATGGTTATACATCTCAAAAAACATATATTAATTTCGTATCTAATTTTTTTTTTATATTTTGTAATTTTGCAACTAAACTTCAAGTTTCATTTATATTGTTAGGATAGTAAATCTCTACAGAATTAAAAGATTTATTATTTACACGCAAGAACGTGTATAAAGTTTTTTAAAAAAAAAGGGGTA